TTCCTCTTCCCCTTCTTCTTTATCTTCCTCTTCTTCTTCGCCGTTGTCTTCCTTCATCTTCTTCCTTCCTTCTTTCATCTTCTATCTTCTTCTTCGTCTTCTTCTTCTTCTTCTTCTTCTTCCTCCTCCTCCTCCTCAATCCCTTATCCCTCCCAACATCTACTTGAGAAAGTTTTGCATGACTGAGGCACAAGGTAAGCAGGAGATAGAGACTCTGCAGAATAGGACAAAGTCACAAAGGTTGTCTTTGAAGACCTTCTCTATCGCTTCTTCTCTTTTCTAACCATCTGTTGTCTTTGGGGACCTTCTCTATGACTTCTTCTCTTTTTTCACTATCCCCACCTTCATCTTCACCATGACACCATCTACATCCTACTCCTCACCTCTTTGACCATCTCCATCATTCTCTTCATTGTCCTTGACTTTTTTACCACCTCCACATTCCTCTTCACCGTCTCTATACCCTTTTTCATCATCCCCATGATTTCCTTCACCATCACACTTCTATCGCCACCATCACTTCACCTTTTCCACTTCATCATCTCCCCAATCTCATCCTCCGCTTCACTGTTTTCACATCTCAGCCTTTATCTTCACCATGTCCATCATCTTCTTCATCACCATCACTTCCATCTCCATCATTTGTCTTCACCTTTTCCACCACCTCCTTCATGTTCTCCACCGTCTGCAACTTCCATTTGACTTTCTTCACCATCTTTTACGACATTTGTACCATTTCCATGCCGTCCTTCATCATCCCAATCATCTTCTTCACCCTTTCCACCACCTCCAAGTTAATAAGAAAACAAATCATACCTTTCTCTTTTTAAGAAAAATACTATTCATCATCTCCACCACCATCCCCATCTTTCATTTCATCACTTATTACCATTTCTTCACTATCTCCATCAGTCTTTTCTCCACTTTCTCCTTCTTGATAGCGCCCATCATCTTCTTCACCTTTTTCACCATCTCCTTCATCATCTCCACCATCTCCACCATCTCCATCATCTCCATCATCTTCATTTTGACCTTCATCATCACTTCCATCTCCATCATCCTTCTCACTATGTCCACCACTGCATCACCATCTCCAACATCTCCTTCATCATCATCACCGCCTCCATAACCTCACTTTTTCCCCCATCTTTCTCATCTCCGCTAGCATCTCCATTATCATCTCCACCATTTTCATTATCTTTCTTACCATCCCCAGCATTTCGATCACCTTTCTCTCCAGCTCTACCATCTTTAACACCATCTCTACCGTCTTGTTCAACATCTCCATCATCTTCTTTGTTCTATCTTCCATCTCCATCATCCTCTTCATCCTTTCCACCATCCTCACCATTATCATCATCCCCATCATCTCCACCTCTGCTTATTACCTTCCCTCTTCTCCCCTAGTCCTAAGGAGAAGGGTAGAAAGGAGGAGACACTTTGAACTCCATGACCACCGTTGGAAGGAGGACGAAGGCAGAAGAGACATTGAAACCATGTAACCAGTTTTTTTTTTTTTTTTTTTTTCAAAAAAAGGGGCCCAGTGCCCAAGGCTTTGGTGGGAAGGAAAAAGGAAGGAGAGGGGAGTTGGCTCCTTGTTCCACCTTGATGAGCGGAGAAGAGAGAAGGGGCCGTTGTCTTGACTACTCGCTTGAGCAAGGAAGGACGCATCTTGGATAGGAAGCTACATCGCAAAACCATTGTTAAACATCAAAAAGGCCGGAAGACCCTAATGTGCGACAAGTGAATGGACGAGGGGCAATACTTGGACGGGGTTAACGTATAGAGAGTTCATTAAAAGTTTTGGGGTATCTGTGGCCTCCTCCTGGCTCCATGGATGATGTGTGATTGTCTTATCTGCAAGTGAGTGAAGGGTTGGGGAAAAGGCTCAGTGTCATGAAGACTTCATTATGCTAAGCGGAAATGAGCTGCCTTGCGTGATTAATGCTGTTTTGATTATGGTGCTTGTGGGGCGTGAGCAGGGGCAGACGGCGAGAAACCTTTTGGATGAGCAAATGTGTTTGGCCCAGTATGCATACGGGTGTAGGACCACGAATGAGTACCAACCCCTCTATACCCTTCTAGTTTATTCCATGAGCGGACCTCTGGTGGCTACATAATATCCCAGTGATGTAATATGCCCTCTCCTCCTTCGTGCAGGCAAGAAGGCAGTTAGGGATAGACCGGTTTCCCGCAAAACGTGCACCATAGAGCCGGAAATGGGCCAAAAATGGGTACCGGCGGAAAGAACGTAAATGTCTACAACCCCCCTAGGGCTGCATGAGCTTGGAAGGAGATCTTGTTTGTGAATAACCAAAAACGATGAGATAAGCAAAACTGGAAAGAGCTACTTCCCGCCTTCAGAAATACAAATCCTATCGCCTTCGCTTACTTGAACAACTTAGGTGAGGTCGACTCTGACGGGAGGGAGGCCGGTTGCGGAACCGCTTCATCGAGACCAAAAGAGCCTTAAAATTAAACCGACGATAGCAGAGTTCGGTGTAATAAGATTAGCAAGACATTACCCTGCATCATCAGTCCCGGACCACCTCCCTTTTTTTTTTTTTTTTTGGGCAAAGCTCCAATCTTATTCGTAGGGAGCAGCACGTGCTGGGAACCGGGCGTCCATAAGGCAGCCTCAGAACACCTAGAAATATCACATCATGAATGTTGCCTTGCCTCTAATCTTCTTTTTTTTTATTATTATCATTATTATTATTATTATTATTATTATTATTATTATTATTTTACCTCTAATCTTCTCAACTGAGTGAATGGACCCTCAATTTGAACTTGGTAAGGTTGGACTGTTTATTGGACACCCCTGCTCCATTGATGGCAGGGAACTGAATTGTAGTGGCCAGGAGCTGATGACAAGGTTAGCAGTTCATGAGTTCAGATCCTGGGGGAACTAACAAGACTACTACTGTCTTCACCCGAATAGAGCACCCTATCCTTGTCACCGTGTCGAGGCTGAGAGTTGCACCAAATACCGCTGTAATGAGTTGGGTGAGGACGGTAGGAGATCTCCCTGCAACGCAATAAAATAGAAACAAGTGCACGCTGCATCAGGTTTCGAGTTTGAAAGGCAAGAGAAACTGATGCCGGCTGGTGTGTCGTGGCGCTAGTTTCCAATCATGGGGGGAAAAAAACATAAACTGGCAGTCCGCACACTACTGCACTGTTCCCAAGCCTAAAAGACCTGACCCACCTCAGCCACCCGTTTCGAAAGTTTAGTGCCATGTTTATATTTTGCCTTTTCAAACTCGGCGCACGGCTGACCTGCCAGTACAGGTTTTTTTTGCCCATTCAACGGAAACGTACTTGCCCTAAGTAAATATCAAAGAAAAGAAAACTCCAGTGTCCACGACTCTGCCTGGCCCTCTTACTCTGAGGAGAATAATTCTCTCTTCTCTGGCATTTGATGTATGGCTTCTACTGGTGAAATTGCAATTGAGCAGAGTGTGCGGCAGGATGAAGACCTGCGAAACATGGTTGAGGCCGAAAACAAACGAAGGCTCGATAAGATTGCTGCAGACGAAAGTGCCAAGGCAGAGAAGGCGGCAAGGATGCGAAAGGTCGCATCGGAGATAGCCTCACGGATTGCTGCATCGAGAGCTCAGTCAACGCAAGACAGCCAAGGAGCTGGAGACAGCCGGACTGGCTCTGCTAGGGGCGATAGTTCAAGGGGAAGGTCCAGGCCTACCTCTTCAGGAGGAAGTGAGCAGAAGCCATCAGCTTCGAGGACACCATCTCAGTCAGTATCCAGACCTCCATCTGCAGGAGGAGAAACACCCATAATAACACCGAAAAGTGCATCTCGAGCGTCCTCCTCACGACCTGAAACNCAGACCTCCATCTGCAGGAGGAGAAACACCCATAATAACACCGAAAAGTGCATCTCGAGCGTCCTCCTCACGACCTGAAACACCAGCCTCCGCACACACCACCTAAGGGCTCAATCAAGAGGCGTGTCTGACTTACGGGCAAACAAGCCCAGCGAAAGAAGCGAGTGCACTGACCGATCAGCGACTTGAGGTCGGCTGTCCCACAAGTCCGCTCGGATGTCCGAGGAGCTGAACGAGCTAGCATCAGAACATAAGGCGAGTTTTCTTATCCTCACAAGAAATGACAGCAGCAAGCAGTGAGCGTGCTGACTGACCAACAACTTGACTTCAGGTCAGCTGTCCCACAAGTCTGTTTGGATGTCCAAGGAGCTGAACGAGCTAGCCTCATAGCATAAGGCGAGTTTTGTTATCCTCACAAGCAATGATGGCAGCACAACATGGCAAGGCAAGTTGATGACCGTGTGTGGAGTTCAGACACGGCAAGCTTTAACTTCTCAGGAAAACTTGGAGTCTCTTTCTACACCTAGGTCTTTTTAGACATGAAGGGTCAAAAGGGCTCATCTGAAGCCATGGCTTCATCACTGGAAACCCAAGACAGAACAGTGTTTTTCTTTTCTTTCTTTTTTCTTTAGTTATATCTTTCCTTACATTCACCACGTTACCCAGAGTAATAGATACTCCCAAAAAACAAAAGTTTTTTCTTTTTTTTTTAAAGGTAAGTACGTTCACGTCACCTTGGAGTTTCGAATGGGCAAAAAAAAAAACACGTCGGCAAAGAAAACCCATGCCGAGTTCGAAAAGGCAACAGACGTACCGACGGCCGTGGTGTCAGACCGCGTGTCATATTTACAGCGCCCGCCCGTGGTGTCAGGGGGGGAAACAAAAACAAAACAAAACAAAAAAGGGCAACGGGTACTTTTGGACCAAAATCGCTCATTTTGAGTGCCGACTGCTTTCTTCGCCGACGCGAGTTTTTTGTGCCTTTAAATTTTCAAAACATGCCACGTCTGCCGTTGCTTCTTTTTTTTAAGAAGCAAGTCAGAGGGGCATCTGAAATTAGTGTTCTGGATTATAGAAAGAGCAGGCAAGTATGACCCCCGGTGTGGCATACTTTGGGTTCACCAACTGAGAAAGTCGGCTTGTCCCTCCTGGCTGGTTTGGGAAGTCGCCTGACTTTCCAGCCCGCACCAGGTGTTAGGAGCTCGGGTGCTGCTTCCCCACACAGAGCAAAGTTAGGTAGGACTCGACCCATAACCTTAGGATGGGTTAGCCCTGTTTAGTAAATTTAAGGCTGGTCCTATCCTAGTCTTCCGTACTCGACCCATAACCTTAGGATGGGTTAGCCCTGTTTAGTAAATTTAAGGCTGGTCCTATCCTAGTCTTCCGTACGATCGTTGCCTGGTCATACCTTAAGGTTGTTCTTAGCAGGCACATTTATTTAGGGCGTAGGATAAGTGTAGTTGGCCTGTCCTTCCCCGTGGCGCTAGGTAGTGTGGAGTAAACGCGGAGAAAATATTGAGAGAGAAGAAAATATCGTAGTAAAAATGCAGCTGTCCCCCATATGAGGAGAAGGCAGCTTGCATTTTTCTGAAGAAGGGGAGGAAAACAAGAGAAGAAAGCAGGCAAGTATAACTCTTTTTAAGTTTTTTTTTTTTTTGGGGCCATTTCGCAATTTATGTGTCATCCTTGCCCAGGGGCCATGCTCGTCTACTCTGTATCCATCCAATTTTAATGGACGTCCTGAAGAACTTCTTAGAACCCTGCAAGTCTGATTTCAAATAAAAAAAAGAAAACCTAAGGGAAACTGTGCAGGCAGAAATGAAAGCAAAGGCAGAAACAAAAAGATAATGCTGCATGTTTTTGCAATACGATAGCTTATATTAATTGGCATTATGCTTCACCTGCCAATGCTGTTTGGTGGTGTCACATCCTTTTATTTCCTTCTACCTTCTTGCTCCTTTCTTACCTCCATGATATCCCATTCCTTCTACTTTTAGTCCCACTCCAAGCCCCACTCGGAATCCGAACATGGTGTGATTATGGACATGTGGCTGTTGCTGTCTGCTCTTGTTTCGGTGCACGCCCCAACGAGTGAGTGCATGCTCACCCTAAACACTCAAGCGATTAAGGGCCTCGTCACACCACTGTCAAAACGAAAAGAGAACAAATGCATCCATCGCTATTCATAGTAATGGATGAATCTTGCCCTTCTCCAGGGGACGATGCGTTCGTTTGTTTTTCATTTCGACAGTGGTGTGGCGAGGCCCTAAGGCCCATACACTCAATGGGACCCAACCTGTCAGTGCCAGCTGCCCTCATGCCAGTCACATTATGCTGCCCTGCCATCTGGCTGTGTGAGTAGGTGATAATCCACTTTGGTCTGTGCTTCGTATGTGGACTGCCCTGTCGGAGATGGCCTGCCATCTGGCTGCCCATCCACTTGCCTCGCATCGCCTTGCCGTTTGTCTGCTTTGGTTTGCGTTGTCTTGCTTGCCTGCCACCTGGCCTTGCTTCTTTTGTGCCCGCTTCCCTCGCTTGCCTTGCCGCCCACCTGCCCACTTGCCTGCCCTTGCTAATGCTCACATAGTTGCCTTGCTTCATGGCCTCCCACTCACGTGACTGTTTGCCTGGTGGTTATTGAAAAAAAAAAAAAAAAAAAAAGACGAAA